TTTTGACATGAAAACAAACCAACAAAAATGCTGACTAAAATTAGGCTGTAAATTACCTCAACAAGATGCCCTAAAATGTAAGCAGTACCTAGTATAGCAGCCTTCAGGAATTACACAATTTTATTTTATAATGCAAAATACAGAATGAGTATTCTGCAAGCTAAATCCTTAGGAAAGTCTACTAGTATGAAAATGGAATCTAATTTTGTCTTTCTTGGATTCCTTATTATGAAGATATTGAGAAAGCTGATTGGTGTTTGTAGCTTCCTTCACATCTTTCTTCAAATCTCACTTTCTTAGTGAGGCTCACCTTGCCCACATATTTAATACTGTGCTTCCCATTGTACCCCCTTCCTATTGCCCAGCATACCAATTCCCTTATCCTGCTCTACTTTTTTTCTATAGCACTTATCCCTTCTAATATTATATTATAATAATATAAATAACATTATTTATGAATTGATTATGCTCATTGTTTTTGGTTTGTTTTTCCACTATCTACCAAAGTCAGGGATTTTGACGTGTTTTGTTTACTAATATATTCCCAATACTAGAATAATATCTGTCACTTTGTAGGTGCTCAAAAATTACTTGAGACATGAATAAATAATTTTTATTTCCCTGCCTAAAAATTAGGATGATATTCACAGCTTCTCATTTACTTATAGAGATATGTGGATACAAACGAGATATGCATATGTCAAATATATTGACTTGTCTGAAAGTCGCCATTCATAGACTAACACCAATTACCATTTTTTTGAAACTTAAAGTGACCTAGCATTGTAATGTCTCAAAGTTTCCATCTTAAATGAATCTGTTATAAGTACATGGTGATTTTACTTATATAATATCTCTTCTGTAGCAATAGAACATGTATAAAATTCAGAATTTGGCTAAAGATCATACCTCATTTTTTTCTTTGAGTTTTGTAATCATAACAATCACAGGACTGTCTTCCTGCCAAACCATCTGCCAGAAATCATTCACGGTGTTGATCATGGGGCCCTGTGTGGCAATGAAGGCTTTTTCCTTGCCACTGTAGCCCTAGTTAAGAGACAAAAAGATTGGCTTTTAAGTTCATGCCTTGCAGTAAAAGTTTAGGCGAAAGATCTTCAGAACAAAATAGCTGTACTAGTTTTAAGGTAACATAAACTGTGGTAGCATCATTGATTCTAGCATCACAGTGGACACGGCTGTTTTTCCAGCAAGTCAAGCATAGCATACAGTATTGTGGGTCATAATGCCCAGTCCTCAGCAGAATGCCCATATAGAGCATTGTAACCAGGGACTCACAGATCATGACTAAGACAACAGAAACACAAAAACCTTGCTAGTTACCAAGTTAAATCACATCTAGGCCAGCAACAGAACTAGCCAATGACCTGGATCCTTAGGCGAGGGCTGGGCCAGCCCCGCCCCCACCTGCAACCAGATCCTAAAATGTACTTATTA